AGCAGATATAATTATTTTTATAAAAAAATTTATAACATAAGTATGTTATAAAATCACTACAAAAATAGCCATTTTGTTTCAACACACTCTGTGTCTTATCAAGTGATGGTGTTGAAAAGAAAATAAATGGTTTTAAAAGTTTCAGATTAATTAACGATCCTACATTGGGGGAGCATTGTTACAAAAGCTAGAATAACCAATCAAAAACGAAGTACAGAAAGATTCAAAAGCACAGGTTAGCACAGAAATTGATGGCTCCCTCTACACATTTGAACTCACAAGGCTTTGGTCAAAATATGGCATGGTTTTCACACAGGCTTATTCCAAAAGTTTTCCACTTCCAGGCAGATAACATCAAGAAGTCCCCGTCCCTGACAAGTCGACCATGGTGAGATTCGAACCCGACTCTCATAGTCAGAAAGCAAATGCCCGTGCCCATTGCATACATACACACACACACATATATATATATACACATATTTATATATGTACACATATATAAAATATATGTATATAGATATGTATGTATATGTATATATTATATACATATATATGTATATAGTATATATAAAATATATATATATATATATGTATATTATATATGTTATATATAAAATATATATATTCGACTCTCCCGTTGTATGAGGGTCAGGCAGCTCAGTTCCAAGGAATCGACAGCCAGACACCAGCACATGTGATTTGATTATAGTGAAGAACCATCGACACTTTTTGGAGGGCCAAATACAGAGACCTGGTGCACTACGTGCCACAAGGTCCCCAAACGGCCCTCTGCCGGTTTTGAATTCAGAGTTGTCCTTCTCCAACATCAGTTGCCATCCAAGGCTATAGAACCCAGCCTGTTCTTCTACTTACCCATAGCTGGAGATTATATATATATATTTCCAAGAGGATATAATCCAGATAGAGCAAGAATATAATAAAAAAAGGCTCAAACACTAATATTTCATGGTTATCTATCTATATATGTATGTATGTGTGTGTGTGTGTGTGCGTGTGTATCATATATCTTTATATAAAATTTGTGTATTTAGGCAGCAATCCTTTTTTCATGCACATTTCATTGAATACGACAGACAAGGTGCTTTGATTTAGTTTTTTTTTTATACAATTTCTTATGCAATCTAATAATTTTTTTTTTCGGATGATAAATTATATAAAAACTGTCCGAATGTTCTTTTCATCCGAGCACTTTCGGCTATATATTTAGCCATTTTCAAGGATGAAATATTTTAACTGTTAAATAAGAAATAGTTTGTTGCATGTATATATTTATATAATGTTTTCATTTTTCAAAACACGGTCAAGATATTGTGTCCATGTTCATAGTTGATATTATTGAGTAATGGTATTTTGCTTTTATTAATAAAGCTTCCATTATTTTTAGCCTTTTTTTTTTTTGCATGTAGATGATGCTATTATATTTGTGCTGTCAACAAGTATGTTATGAATAGAGTCTGGTAGGTCTGCATGAATATTTAAATGAGACCTAATTGAGCTATGGTCAGAAAGGTGTAGAGTTAATCTTTGTGTCAAACATGTTGTATGGCCTATATAATTATTTACGAATTTTGATCAACACACATTATTAAATTGATATAATTTACGAATTTTGATCAACACACACATATATATATATATATATAGATATGTATGCATGTATGTATATATTATATATATTACATATATAAATATGTATATTATAAATATTATATATAAAATATATATATTACATACACATATATTATTTATATACATATATATGTATTCTGTATTTCTGCACAATATTTTTTACACATTTTGACCAACATATTCTGCAACCTTCCTCATCTATTAGTCTTTAACCTTTTGCACTCTGAATTCTTAATATTACTTCCCTTTGCACTGCATTCTTTTTCAAGGCCTCTCAATTGCAGAAACATTGTTTTTTTTTTATGTTGCCATAGCAGGATATGACAACACAACTATGAAATTTAAATTCAAAGATCAGTGTCACCTTCAGTGGAAGGATAAACATTTTTACAGCATAATGGTTAAAAAATCATTTAGTCATTTTTTTCATTTAACTCAACTAAAAATTTCCACAATAAGATTTTCAAAGACCCCCAGATGCAACATAACCTTGAAGAGCAAAGAATATATTGTGGACATATTTTAAAATCATTATTAATTATACTGTTTAAATCAGCTAATATTCCTCAAATAAAGTTTCAGAAAAGTATATTTTATTTTCGAAAGATTTTTTAATAAAGAGAATTGCATTGCAATGAAACGTAACTAAGGGCACTAATCAACTACTTTATAAGAAAAATAAAATAAACTCCTTCCAGTCGATTTATTTTACTTTTTGAAATACAACAAAGTATTTTCGTTAATGCAAATGTTAAATTTAGCCTGTAATTAAAAGTAAGATAAAAGCTTCAGGTATTTTCATTTCTAAAAAAAATCGTTTTAAATCTTATGTATCATGTTTTCTGTTAGTCACCTACTTTAAACAAACATTCTATTATCTACATTTTCTTTTTCATTATAAATGTTCAAAACTTGTTTTTCATTTTTATTTTCTCTGTAATAAATCACTTTGCATTTGTTAGTGTAAAAGTAGCAGAACAGAAGTTTGACTTTGCTTGAGAACTTCTTTGTTTAATGTTTATATTAGTTATAAGAACAAATCTTCAAATTTTTGGGGTCAAACAGAACTGAGTTACAGAAAATCCGAAATGTAAAATAAAAATGACATTATTTAATTAATAATGTTTTTAATTCATTTTATGAATAAAATATATTATGGATACTATTGTCTTAAGAAAAATAAATATTTTATGAACAATGAATTTTTACAACTGTTTTCCCTTTTTAAATTTTAATTAGAATAATCTGTGAAATCTTAAAATTCTGTATTAATTTGTAGCAGTCAAGTGAAATTGTTATTAAAAAAAACATTTATTAATCAAATGGAAACGCTTACAAATCTAGTATTTTAAAAAGAATTTTGCATTTTTTATGCATGCATATAAACATGCTGATTTTTGTAGACACATCCATATATGACATTATCAGAAAATATGAGGTAACTATAGTAAATTCGAAATTTATTGATAATTCTTTTTTTAACATTTCCTCAACAAGTGTCTTCATAAGACTATAAAGCCAAAATACATAAAATTCAATAAAATATTAATTACTTAGAACATTTTTCTAAGATTACTGGGTCGTTAAAAAAATTATATAAAAAAGTGTTCACATATTCATCACATAATTTTTAGTCATGTATCCTTTACTTAAATTTGCCAAACATTAAGCTATTGACAAATCTGTGAACACTTCATAAAAAAAAAACATTGGAAAGATTTTTTATAAAGAGTATTGCATTGTCAGATTTGTCAATATTGCTGATGTTAGTGATTTTAGTTATTTATTGGAAATATTAAATTTAATCAATTAGCCTGAAATTAAGACTAAAATTACCTCCTTTAAGACATCTTTGCAGTTCATGAAACCCACAGGAAACCCCCCCCCCCAAAAAAAAAACACAACATTATATATACTGGATGTAACAGCAAAATTGTCCAATATCATAAAACCACTAAACTAATCGAGTTTCTTTTTTCCATGTTTTCAGCTAAGATGTTTAGCCATCTTGACACCATTTATCATAAGAATCACTGAAAAAACCCTTTGAGTTATTTAGCTAAAATTAGAGCAGGTTAAAATTGTTTTGTGCTAGACCCACTGTCTTTGCAACTGAGCAATGGTGAGAGGAAAAAGATCATTCAGGCCTTCAGTAATGTTGCCCACATTCATACTCTGGCTTCCCTCTTCAAAGTTTATTCAAGAAAATGGTGAATAAATTTAAAAAAGAGGGAACAGTAGAGAAGAAAACTGGATAAGGAAATCACAACAGGAAGAGAGATCATCATTTCAACTTAGAGCTAAAGAGATCAATCAGAAAAGATCCAACTCAATTCATAAGACATTTGGCATGTAAGAGAGGAGTTTCAGCTATGACAGTCCAAAGAGAAGTGACAAAAAGACTTGAAAATGAAATTGTATGGGAAACCTGTGAGAGAAACAGAAAGTTAGGTGTGAGAAGGTGAAGATCATCTTGAATAATTTGTAAAACAATCCTGGTGTATATATATATATATATATATATATATGTGTGTGTGTGTGTGTGTGTGTGTGTTTGTGTGAACTTTATTTCAATACTTCATAAGCTTCCAATCCTTAGCCATTAATTAATGATGAACATGTCATTTTCATTTATGACCAATTTTATCACAATACTTCTGGTAAGCTTACAGAGTAATTATACATTCTCATTGCTCAAAGTAGATTCAAATAGTCATATAAAACCTTGGAGAATTCCAGTAAGATATCTTTAATCATTTCTAAGATACAATGACTCAGAGCTTAATCTAACAATTTTGTTGTTATACACTATATATATATATATATATATATATATATATATATATATATATATATATATATATATATATAAACAAAATGTCAAAAGCACTTGTTAACATGAATTTCCTCTGTGAATCAGAAACTTTAGAAAATAAGAGACAAAAGCCAATATGGTGGAATTTATCATGGATTTATTTTAATGTTAAAGGTGGGAAATGGTCAAGTCTCATAGAATTTCAAATAAGAACTTGGGAAGTAGAAAGAGAGAAAAAAAAAAAAAGGTGTGTGGGGGGGGGGAACCCAAGTCACTAGAATAAAAAATTGTAATGATGTCTGTTGTTGGGCCAACAATTTCAAAACGATAACCATTTGAAAGAGAATGAACAGAATGATGCGATGTAATGTAGCTGGCACAGCACATAGTACGGCTAACAAAAAGCCCTCCAGCTACGTGCTTGTACGGATTAAGAGAACAACTTGTGTTTCTGTTGTTGATGAAGTAAAAAGGGGCCAACAGAATTCTTCTGCACTTGTTCATGTCATCTTGGGGGCAAATGCAACTTGACTCTTTAATTGTAGCCTCGGTATGAACCACCCCAGCCACTGCCGCCACCACCACCACCACCATAGTTGCCTGAAAAAGATAAAAATAAATAATGAGCAAATTCCTTAATCAAGAAAGAAAAAGAAAAAAAGTTAGAGAAAGGAAGCAGTTTTAATTACTATTTATTCAGATCCAAAAAGAAAATTCTCAATACAAGATTAAATTTTTAAAATCTTTAACATTTCAAATCCAAACTGAACAAGTTGATCCATATTAGGATAAAGAAATTAAAAAGAAAAAGAGCCACTGGCTATTCTAACAATAATGGAAAGTTCTAAGGGCTGGATTTGAAAGCTAACTTGAAGACTAGCCACAGTTTAAAAAAAAATTAAAAAAATAGCAAACAAACCTTATAAACTGAACACATCCTTCAGAGAGACAAAAAAACAGTCACATTCAGTCGCCTAGTTTCTGTTCAACAAGTCTTTGTATCTGTCATAGGAACAACGAAGCAGATCATGTCCAGTCCCAAAGACATGATGTCTTTGAAAGAATGTCAAAAGGACTTACAAGGAGGGGGGGTGGAGGAGGAGGAGGAGGAAAAGCATTCCACTGCTCATGCTGGCAAAGTAACCCGTGCAAAGGAGCATTGGCAGTTGTTTTGCTTCAAAAAAAAAAAAAAAAAAAAAAAAATGCTAGCAGACCATCCAAGCAGCAGAAGTCGGCCAAAAGACTTCCATTCTCAACAGACAACAAACAAACTACAAAATGTGTTGGAAAGAAGGAAGAGGAGAAGACAGGGAGGGAAGAGGGTGGAAACTAGTTTTCTGTATGTTAGAACATCTCATAAGTACTATCCTTTGAAAGATATTTAAACAAATTGGAAACAAGGCCATTAAGGAAACATTACAAAGAAAAATGGAAAAGAAAAAACAAATAAAGATTTGGGGGCGGGGCAAAGACCCTCCCAGCTCCAAATCAATTTGGAGCATTGATTGTGCAGCTCAATGTTGCTCTCATAGCTTTCAAGAGGTGATTTGTTGAAACTGGATTCTGTGCTGCAAGAAGAGACTACAGACATTACTGTAGGCACATGTGTGGACAAAACCTGGTTGGGAGGGGGTGGGGTATGGAGATCCAGGGACAACAGGAGAATGGATGCTGACAGGTGAGAGGAGGAGGAGGTGGGGGTGGAGAAGGACTAATGACTGACAAGTCATTGCTGATGCCACAAGCACAAGGTTACATCAATGACTACGGCTGCTGCTACTACTACTATTACTACTACAAGTGTAGGTAAGAGGAACAACAGGCAAGTGAGTGTAGTGGGAGATTAAAAAGAAATAAACAAACGATGCAATCTTGAACAATACTACTACTACTGCTGCTGCACCAAGGTGGCATTTCAAGAGGGGGGAAAAGAACCTGCAAGCAGAAAGGGCATGCCATCCATCAGTGACCAACTTCCATACAGTTCAAGAGGACTTTGACATGGGTACTGGGCAATGGAGAGAAGTAGTAGTAATGGTGGTAATAGTGAAAGCAACAACAACAACAAATGGATTCACCAAGATCCACAAGTCCATCACTCTTGTGGCTGCCTCTAATGGGTGCTAGTCATAGTCATAGTAGTAGTAGTAGTAGTAGTAATAATAGTAGTTAGACAGTGATGTCGGGTTGTTTCAACATAAGAATCAACACTCCATTCAATTCAAACACGTAAGCGTACCCGATGAATTATAGTCAGAACGGCGTTGCATTTTCTTATTCCCATATCTGCCACTCTGCTGATCAAAGGGTCGTTTTAAAGAGACGTATAGTTATCACCCGAGTATCTGGAGGCGGAGGGTGAGGACGAGAGATCTCCGTGGGGTTGTAATCATAGTTACCGTAATTCATGTTGTCGTTGTTGAACCCTCGGCCGCCGCCGCCGCCACCACCACCGCCACCGCCGCCAGACTGATAGCCTCCGCCGTAGTTACCTCCTTGGTCCATGCCTTGACCCCATGACTGGTTGCCAAATTGACCATCACCTTGACCACCCATCTGGTTGGGATTTAGAAACTGCTGACTGAAAAACGAAAAGACAATAATACACAATGCAGCAGAAACATTTCCAACACAAAAGCAAAGTTTAGCTTAGTTTACACAAACAGGACACAGGCTACCATTTGATTGGGGTGGGGGATAATAAGAAAAACAGACTTACCCAAGCAAACTGGTCAGGCCCTTGAGTAATTCACTCGTCTGAGAAAAGAGCAGCTGTAACGTTCTGGCCACCTTGATTCCTTTAAAGACCAACATATTCTACATTACTCTTTGGACTTGGGCATTATGTCAAAGCACTTTTTTTTTCTTTTTTGGTTTACTGGTTTGATAAAAAAAAAAACAAAAAAACTATAAACTTACCACTGGCCACCACCACCACCAACTCCATCCATTAACTGGCGCCGTCCACCACCATCCATTCGACCTCTCTGCATAAACTGTGCAGGCTGAAACAAAATTTAATTGAAAGAATAAATCTATTCAACCATTTTCTGCTAATCATCTGAAAAGGTTCAATTGAGAAATGAGGAAAATAAAAGTCCTGAAAAAATGCAGATGAAAATAAATTCAGAGATCTCTGCCTCTTTTCATAAGAAATGAAAACAAAGTAAATTCTTGGACACTTACATAAAGTGCAGGATTTTGAGGAAAAAAATACTGTCTCCTCTTTGAGATGACAGAGTTTTAGAAAATGCAAAATTCTATTCAAATTCATGAAATTTAATATCATTCATTTGAAAGTAAATGAATGCTAACAGCACAAACCTTTCTTCCTTGTAAGCGTCTATCAGGAGACCATCTCTGCTTTCGCTGAGGCATTTGCTGTAGAGGTTGGGGACGCTTTCCTGAGACAAAGAGAGAGACAAGTGCATCATTAAGTCTTTAGCTAAAAGATGGAGGGCAGGCACACAATCATCTACTTCCATTTCAATACACCTCCTTAACCAAAATTTAAAAATGAAAATTTATATCAAAATTAAAAACGGTTTAGACTTACTGGTTCTCTATTATAAAAATACAAAGCAGAAAATGAAGATCCCCACAAAATATTGCACACACTCGACAGCAGAAAGGAAATAAAAAAATGCCACCCAAAATTTAAATGAAGCAAAAATTTCCAAACAGAAAGAAAAATTAATGAACACAAGGCAGGGGGTGGTGATGGTAGCTACTAATTGTCACACACTTCATCAACCAGTGATATACTGACCTCATATTCTGGAGACAGAAATACATTATTTGTAATTTACACCCAAAACAGAGACAAACTAGGAGCAGCAGCAAGCTTTTATATATATATATATATATATAAATTCAGAACAGGTGGAGGTTCTGCACAATCAACATTTTAAACTTGGTCTGTAGCTGCTACATGATCTTCTCTTAGTAGATGATGTTGCTCTAGAAGACATTCAAACTATCCTTGATAAAGCATTTGCACTCACTATCAACATAAAGAAGATTGAACTAATGTACCAGCCAGTACCAGGCAATCCATCTCTCATAAATCCTTCCGTATTTATTGATGGTACAGCATTAAAAACTGTTGAGGTGTTCATATATCTTGGATCGACAGACGCTTCTGATGGAAAAATGGACAGAGAAATCCAATCCAGAATAGCCAGCACCTAAACATAGGTTATGGAAAACTAAAGACATGTCTCTCAGAGTAAAGATCTGTCATTCTCTCAACCCTTCTATATGGTGCTGAAACTTGGACCCTGTACCACAGCACATAAATCATCTTGACACCTTTCACATGTGCTGTCTTCATGCCATATGTGATATAAAATGGGATGACAGGGTCAAGAATAGTGCAATACTGAAGAAATGTAACATCACAGGTATTGAAAGCATTCTAGCAAAGATACAACTTAGGTGGGCTGGTCATGTTGTGAGAATGGATGAGTATAGGCTTACATACAAGGTGCTGAACAACTACTAAACTTCAAGTGTTCAATTGGACGTCCACTCTTAGGCTACATAGACAAACTGTAAGATAACTTGAAACATCCCAACTTAGATCTGAAAACCTTGGAAGCCCAAGCATCAAACCAAAAAGAGTGGCGTAAAACATGTTTTATTAAGTTAAAGGGTTTTGAAGACAGTAGACTGAAGCACTGTGATTAGCTTTGTCAAGTTCTGAAGCAGAGACGCCATCAAAATCCAGCTTTAACAAATTTCATCTGTCAGTGTGGCAGAAGGCTGGGCTAGTATCACACGTAAGAAAGCAAAATAAAATGTCTTTCCGTTACCTGATTTTCTCCACAACAGCCCCTGCTAGCATGCATAAGTGTAAAACGAAAGGCACCATCCAATGCTGACCCTCATTTATTGTTCAAGATATTATATATATATGAGAGAGACATATCAATTCTGACTAAACTAACCTCTCATATCAGAATTCAGACCTCTGCCACGCTTGATCTTGTTTACCCTTCTTGTTGACTTGCTGGTTTGCGTCGATTCTGCTGATTAGAAAAGCTTAATTTTTTATTTTGTTGATTGTTTTGGTGCTTCTTTGATTTCTTTTGTCATCTGAAATACAAATTCAAAACAATTTAGCACAAACAAAAATATTTTCAAACTTCAAGAATTACAAAAAACTTTATGGGAAATTAACAGACACAAAATGCAACAATTAAAATCGGTATTTTCTTTTGACTTTCCTCTTTGAATTTTTAGGGTGAAAACCAATTGCAACTTACCATCATCTTTGGAAGTGTGAGAAATCAGATCAATTGATAAGACATTGTCCTTGAGCTTAAGATCCTTGCTTTCTGAAATAATATTTTCAGCTTCCGTAAAGAATGGCATTCCACAATTGCATACCTAAACAGAGCAAAAGACACAACATTGTCAGTCAATTGGAAACGGACAATTTTCCATCAAAGACAAAGCGGACTCTCTTTTTATCTTGTTTCTAGTCACTAATCTACTCAACTTCCATCAACTATATCCAAGGAATTTACAATTTGAACTAGTTTTCAACTACTCAAAAAGAAAAGCTCTGTGTAGCAGGCAGACTAGAAGTGAATTGGTTTTTTTACATGGAAGTCCACAGCATATAAGAGTCCAACACAACAAAATACAGATTCAAGAAAAAAAAAAAAAAAATTTTCATGCCCAAAGTTATTTTATTACAGTTAAATAGACAAACTCAACCATTCGATATATTTTATATCAATAGATGATAGAATGAGCAACTTGGATTCGAAGAATGCATTTAATCAGCACAACTGCAAAAAGAGCAAATCATTTTGATGCCATAATTCAAGTAGCAAAAATTAAATCTTGCCAAAAGGCAGAGTACACTCGTTGCCCATTATAACATCTATTGGCAAAGAATAAAAAGAAGGTCTACTTTAAAATCGGTTTGCATTAAAAAGTAGTTAAAAACATTTGGTGCAATTATTATTTCCTCCATTGAAAGAGAAACTACAAGAGTTGATTTTATAAGTGCAACAAATACTAATTGATACTTTACATAGAACTTGACTAAGTTGCTAGTCATTAGTCTATAATGTAGTCAGAATAATCAAAGTAGGTAGTACAAATAATAATAGTAATAATAAAAGAGTAGTAGTAGTAGTAGTAATAATAATAATAATAGACAGAGTGAGTGTTGCCAGCTGCCCTGCTGCTGCATCCAGTGTAGAGGAGGAGGAGCAACAACTGGCTGGCCAGCCAAAAGGTGCTAAGAAAGAGTAGCTAACATCAATTTGTCTACAGTTAAGCACAAGATAGGCAGCCGAAAAACCGACTAGCTGCTGCAAGTCGCAAGGACTGTGCAACAGAGAGACGATGACAACATTCATGGAAATCAACGTTGGTGCAGGGTTGAAGCTGCACCAACAAACAAAAGGAAATGCGCAAAGGTTGACAAATTACCCCTGATTCTGATCTTCCTCATTAAGTGGGATCACCACATTCCGGGCTTATGGAATAACGCCTGAACCTCCTTGACTGTGACTCCTTGTGGAATGTTGTTCACATAGAGGGAATAGTCTTTCTTGTTCCCTGAAATTGTCAGGTGCCCAACCAATGGGAGGTGGTTGTTGTTAAGAGGAGGAGAATGATGATGATGATGATGCAAACACACAGGCGGACAAGCACACGGCTACATCACACCTGCTACAACTAACAAGGTCATTTACTAACAAGACTGTACAAAAGACAGTGAAGGCAAGTGCCACAAAAGGATTTATATATATATATTATCATCATGGTCAGTATTATTATAATAATCATCACTACAAGGTACCGCCACAGACGGCACGCTCAAACAGACACCAACAATGGCGGCGACAGCAGCGCATCAAATGCCAAAAAACTGGAATTGGTTGGCAAAGACATGAAAACCTTCTCTTGCTAATGACCACACGCACTTTACTCGGCCACTCCTATACCCATTGTCCCAACAAACACTTGCTGGCTCTGCCAGATGCATTTGCAAGGACAAACTTATCACCTGCCCACTTCTCCAAGAAAATACACTTTGTCTTTGTGAGAAAGTATTTGCAAAATTAAAAAGGAAAAAAAAAAAAAAACTAAGATAAATAATCTTGCACACTTTCCACACGCAGACAAAGTCAACTTAATTGCAATCTCAGTGAAGAAATTTTTATAACAAAAAAAAAAAAAAAAAATTTTCCAACAATTTGAGTTCCTGATTTTTTTTCTTTTCCTTTGAGGGGGGTAAAAAGGGAGTAATGAAATAAATGACAAATTTATGTGGAAAGCAAGAGAAGGTGTCATTAGCCAAATGTAATATGACATTACTTTTCCATTCCAATCTTTGACCGTGCAAATACAAAGAATGCCTCAAGTCAAACTCCCTCGTAATATTTGAGGATAACACTAAAGAATAGTTCACTATTATTTTATAGCACCTGTATTTTCCCCTTCTATCAGCAAGATGAACTTGTGAAGAAGGAAAAAAATTCAGGGAACCAGTGTATCCACACAACTACCAGAAGCAGGTAAGACAGACTTCTTCATTTCTGTTAAGAAACACTAATCGCCCAATAAGAGGACAAGCAATTCATGGACAGTGTCCACAAGTTAATCTTTTTCAATAACATTATTAACTATGTCCCAGTAGACTTGACAATCTAACATTTCTTTTACACCAGTCGCAAAAATAACATCTAATTGTAAAGAAATTAGAATTTGGATCAATGTGTTCGAAAAACTTGGAAGATCAACATTTTGACTGGAAAATGTTCATTCTTAAATGCTAAAACATCAGGATATGTTTGACTTGACACTGATGTCTTTCAATTAACTACGTCAAGTGAAAAACTTACTAGCTTACTTCCTCAAATAAGTTACAATAACAAATTTATGCATTCAAAATCTACAGGAGTTTGAAGGTCAGAAAAATTTCAAAGGGAAAAAATAAGCTTTCAACATCACAATGTGTAAAACTCTTGCCAGAAATAGCCAGACTTTCAGATATTTGCATTGAAGCTCAAAAAGGAAGCAGTGTTTAGAAAAATATCAAAAAAAATATTCCCATTTCATGGAATTAAGAAATCAGTCCATTTAAGGATTGTTGAACGAGATCTGAATGGAGAAAAGCCGGAATATTTCAAGCAATGAGTTTTACATAAAATCAAAAACATTTATAGATAAAGAAAAAAAAAAAAAGTCATTTATAACAAATAAAAAACAAAATTGTGACCAATTGCATTAATGCTCTGCAAATATTTTGAAAAGCAACAATAATACTCATTATACCCTTATCTAACAAATTCCACTATAGGTAGAGGGTGTGGGGAGACCAGTTGTGTTTTTTTAGTTATTATAGATGGCAGTCATAATAGCCTTTGGAAGCAGCTTGGCACAATGAAACTGGAACATCGGATCCTGCCAGGGTTTCTTTGATCCACCAGGCTGAACAGTGGCTACAGCAGAGAGAGGGAGAGAAAAGCCCTACCATAGACAACACCCAGCATCATTACAAGGTGTTACCTCAATGAGACTCTTGACTCCTATAAGAGCATTAACACAAGCCAATTTGGAAAGGATTGGACAAAGCCCCAAAGCCATGAAAGAAGTAATGACAGAGCTTCAATAATTTCTGGCAGAGTGTGAGAGAGAGAGAATCCTGCTGTGGTTTGCTGCTGCTGTTGCCAATGTGGACAATTCCAAGACAAATGGCAGATGCAGGTGCTGCTCAAAACCTGCAATTCAAGTGCATCATCAAGAGTAAACATGAGTATGAAAAAGAAAAACAGAAAAAAAAAAAAAGGTGTGGGGAGGGGGAAACATTTATATCAGGAAAAGGAGACAATTTACATGATGAGAACGAGGGGAAGCAAAACATGCTCTTTGAAAGATAATGCTTTCATGTGTGAAAAAGCAAAAAAAAATCTGCCGCCAACAAGTTGCATTACCTCTAAAGAGAGCATAACAAATTATCTACCAAACAAGGAAAGAAAAAAAAAAAAAAAAAGAAAAAAAAGAAATGACTGCAAGACAAAAATCCTCATTGCCAAATCTGTGGGCTCATGAAGAATTCACTGCTGCTTTCAAAGAAAGGAAAAAAAAGAAAAAAAAAAGGCAGCCAGTTCTTTAAACCAACAATAATGTTCACAATATGGTATTAGCCAGCCATTGTGAAAGGGATAAGGCATACCTTTGTCATCCTTATTGTCATTATTACCTGAAAGAATCAAGAAAGAGGACATTATTTTTTTTTTTAATCTTTTCGGGTTTGCACACAAGATTTACTCATATAACCAATGAGAATTTTTTTTTCTTTTAAACCCAGCCCGTTTTCTTCTAATTGTGGACATTGTTAGGGCCCAACTGCAAGATTTAACTACTCCTTTCAGATTCCCCACCCAAAAGCAAAAGCTTTATAAAAAAAAAGCCAGCTTTTTTTCCTTTTAAATTAAAGATACCCACATCTCAACTAGTTAGAGAAAAAGTAAAATAAATATTAAAAAGACAATTTATAATGTGGAGAGAGGGGTATCAATATTAAAATCAAGTGGGCGCACATCTAACCTAACCCTGCAAGCTATTCTGCTTACCTTCCGTTGGAGGTTCATATACAAATGTTTTGCCATTAATTTCCATCGGCTGTAATTTGTTGAAGACAACTTCAGCAGCTTCTTCTGATGGGAACTTCATTCTCATAAACCTTGACATAAGAGCAAAAAAAAAAAAAAAAAAAAATATCAAAACATGTTAAGCCCAGCATGTTTAGAAAAAAAAATCCATAAAAAACAATTGATTCTTTTCTCGTCATTCTCAAGTTTTTAACCTATTATGGCAGAGCAGAATTTAATCTTCACACTCTTAGCCCCAGTGAAGAGTTGAAATGAACATGGTGACAACTTGTACTGACAGCCTTTTGCCTGGCATATCAACAGTAATGTCAAAGACTAGAATGGCCATGTCATGCCACAAGTAATGATGATATTGGAAATTTAAAGAAATTTCTATCATTAACAAGACACTGTGACACATTGGAGGAATTTAAACTTTCTTCAGTAACTTCAAAGGACAACAATTCAATAGACATCAAATCATTTACATATCAAAATCAAGAATTGTCCAAGACACATTCATCCCTACCCTTTCCTGACACCAGTTTTGGCTTTCACATATTTAATATTCAAACAGGTATCATCCCAATAATCGGACAACTCTGATACAGCCACTTTGATGTCCTCCAATTTCAATTTGTGGATGGTCAACAGATTTGGATATGGCCTTCCTGCAAAAGTAAAAGGAAAAAAAAATTACTTTCTGTGACACAACAGAGAATTGGCTTCTCATTCAACAAAGAAAACATATAATGAAGGATTAAGTGAATTTCTATAGATATTGAGTGAATTTTGATTTTCAAACCAGAAAACCATTGTCTATCAAGTTTAAATTTCACAAATGCGGAACCTGTATTTACAAATGATCCCAAAGACAATCGATATGAACAGATGAGATTAAAAAAAAAAAAAAAATCTTATTGCTTTATTGAAACATACAAAAAAAATTTTAAAAAGTAAATGCTTGGCTTATTCACACTTTCAAGTCACTTGCACACTCCTAAGAAATGTGTAGCTCCTAAAAGAAAAAATACTTACTTAAATTCAAAACATTGTCATCCTCCTCTTCTTCCTCCTCCTCCTCTTCTTTTTCTTTTTCGCCTTCTTCTCCTTTTTCTGTTAGGGAAGAGAAAAAAGGATTAATTTATCTTTTCAAATTCCAAATTTAATCTTAAATAAAAGAACAAGCTTTTAGAGATATTGAATACCATGTATTTAAGTTGAAAATGAAGCAGCCACCAGAAGAGAACTTACCAGCTTCTGTAGTGGAATCTTCCATTGGGGTTTCTCCATCCACATTACCATCTTCTTCAACAGGAGCAGCAGAGGAAGTTTCCATTTCACTTTGATCTACATCTTCCACACCATCAACAGGAGTTTCAGTCTGTTTCTCATCAGACATCTTTATGCTACAAAAAGATTGCAAGAGGTTCAGATTAAATAGAATAAAGCTTTGATGTAAGAAATCCTCTAGAAAGGCAAAATCAATTTTTGCTTCTTCAGCCAAGAACAAAAGAATCAAAGAGATGAACCTTATGTAAGTTGTTCACAAATAGGCAAAAGACCAAATTTACCTTGGGGTCCACTTGTAGATAAAATATTGCCTCTTATCCACAAGTAAACTACGGTTCCATTTTGATCAGAAGTCAATTCTACCCAAATGAAATACCTCTAATGTGGTTTTAGTAGTAGTAGTATTAATTAATACCAATGTCTTAAAAGAAAAATCTATGATTCATGTTGTTTATACTTTAAAA